TTGGCAGAACCGCGGCGCCCGATTACACGCTGTGCTGGCCGGCTGCAGGGAGATGGCACTCCCCCACTGCCCCGGAGCAAATGCAGCCGTGTGGTCCGGGCTGCGCAAGCCCGCCGCACCGCACAGCCCCGTGCCTCCCTGTCTGTGCAAAGGCCATGTACGTGGCACAATCGCAAACGCGTGACCCCAGCCTGCCAAGCCAGTCCCAGCAACTTCCCCTAAGCTTGACTTCCTCCAGGCACAAAACAGGCCCGGGGCACACGGGGCCCGTGGGACCCACGGCGCTGTGGCTGCAGAAAGCAGAATAAAAATAAATTGAGGGGCTGGCAGGTGGCACGGTGCCTACGGTGCTGGGTCCCACGTGGCCACCTCTGCTGCCCAAGTCATGGACTCGATGGCTTGAAAACACACCGGGCATGGGGAGCGGCGATGGTGGAGCGGTTACACCGCTGGACTCTCACATGGCTGACTGTGGTTCAAGCCCTGGACCCAGTGACTTGAAAACCACACCAGGCACATGTGTGTGCTCCAGATCCCGGGAGAAATGGTGGCAGGGCCATCTCCCCAGGGCGTGGTTTCTCACTTTCCCTCCCACTGTCTCTCTCTCCCCAGCAAGTGTGCGTGCCCCCAAGTCAAAAACCTCTAAAAAGAAAAAAGCAAGACACACCGGGCACACGTGGGTGCAAGCCCCACACCCTGGGAGGAGGGTGAGAAGGGATCGCGCGTGGCCGTCCCCTGGGGGTCACTTCCTCTCTCTCCTCTCTGTCTCTCCCTGGTGAGTGCACACGTCTCTGGGAAACATTAAAACAGAAACAGTAGTGACACTGGGAGGGGCTGTCACGGCCCTGCGACTTGCTCACTGTCACTTTGTGCTCTGAGCCTGGGTCAACGACTGCAGGTGGGAAGCGGGATCGCATGGGGTGATTGAGGGTCAGAGTCCCGGCCAGGTCGGGCACTGTGCGAGCGCCGAGACCCCACAGGCTGCAGGGCTGCAGGGCTGGAGGAGGAGGGCTGAGGTGTGACCAGACCCCGGCCCGGAGCTCCTCTCTCTCCCACTCACACCCAGCTGTGGGCCAACGCGCTGTATCGTGACTAAAGAAAAACATTCTAAAAGAATCCTTTAAGATAGTCACGCTTGTGTTGCGCGCGTTTCGTCTCCAGGAAGGAAGGGCAGGGGGAGGGCCGGCCTTGGGGCGGCGGGCGCGGTGGGGCGCGGGGGGCCGGCGCCCGTACCCGTGCTGTAGCCGTCCTGCAGCTCCATGATGAAGCCGTGGGCGTTGGCCTTCTGCGCGGCCTCCACCACCATCTCGAAGGGCACGGTGGGCAGGCCGTAGGAGATGTTGTCCGTGATGGAGCGGGCGAACAGCACGGGCTCCTGGCTCACCAGGGAGATCTGCGGGCAGGGGGCGCGGCGTGAGAGGCCAGCAGCGTCCAGCCCGCCTTCACCGGGCCGACGCCAGGACCCTCAGGGCTGCTGTGGGGCCGCTCTCCTCACACGCTGGGCCCGCTAAGCTGCTGCTCCGGGCTGGGCCAAGTTCTCTGGTCTCCAGAGAAAGTGCTGCCCGGCCCTGTCCTGGGGAGGGGGCGAGGAGCGGGGCACGCGGGGCACAGTTCGGTGGACACGGCTGCCCACGTCAAGGAGGAAGAGGCCCCAGCTGGCCCCAGGCCACAGGGTCCTCCCTGGCAGACGAATGATTTAAAGGAGCTGAGTCGGGGCTCAGCTCAATTTAAAGGTGGCATGGTGGGGAAAGCGCTGGAGTCCCACATGGGCAACTGCAGTTCGAGTCCCAGATTTGGCGGCTTGCTTTCTCACGTTGCCTCTTGCTCTGTCTCTCTCTCTCTGGTCAAATTAATAGGTAAAGAGTTCTTTAAAGAAGTCATGTCCCATGATCCCAGCTTTGGAAATCTAGCCTCAGTCGTAATGCAGCTGGGGCAAGGTCCTGGTTCAAGTCCCGAGTCCCCCTTGAGCACACCGGGCACACGGCCCAAGAGGGCTGAGATGGGCTGGATCGAGGTGAAGACCTGCTGGGGTGCCTCTCTCATGGAAGAAATAAATAAATGACTTTTTAACAAAATAACATCACGGGGGGACCAGCAATTGGCACAATGTCTATATGTCACTAGACTCCATGCAGTCAACCATGGTTTGAGTCCCGGACCCGGTGGCTTAAACTCACACTGGGTGCGTGTGCGTGGGTGCCCAAGATCCCGAGAGGAGAATGAAGGAGAAGGGATTGCGGCAGGGCCATCGCCCCTGAGGGGTGATTTCTTACTTTCTGTCTCTCTGTCTTTCTGGCGAGTACACACGCCCTACAGCAAAACCCTCTAAAACAAACAAACAAACAAAAACAAAAACAAAAACAATCACAGGTCACCCATTTAGATGGCTAAATCCCACATGGCCAATCGTCCTGGAGCTGGTGGCTCGAAAACCACACAGGCTCCGGGTTTGCGGCTCCATTGCTGGTAGGATTACCCGAATCTGGTCACGAATGGCTTCTTTTGGGTACTAGAGGTGAGTTGATCGTGAATAATCGGAACTCTCGTCCACTGCTAAGGGAACAGAAACTCAGCCAACCGCCTTGGAAAATGGAGACTGCTAACGGGGGTACGCGCCCACCCTCACTGCGCTTTTCTACCCCGAGGGCCACACCTCGGAAGAACATACCCACAGAAACACGCACGAAATGGTCCACACCCCAATCGCCGCTGTGGGTAATGGCGGGAAATGGGAACCCCAAATGCCTACCAAGACGGAGTGCATGACTAGATTGTCTACACTGTGGATTAGCCTCCAGTGGGGGGGTGGGGGGGTGGACGCC